GGGGGGGGGGGAGACCCAACAAAACGTCCGGCCCCCGGTTTCAGTGTAGTACCGTAGGTGCGCACTCTCAAGGGGGGAAGGCAGTGCATTCCGATCTGTGTGTCCCCTGTTGTTTCACCGCCCCAACGAATCAATATGTTCATCGATACGTAGTCATGACGGACTCGGAATCTGTATCAATTTTCATGGCTATTGGTGGTAGTGGCCGTGCTGCTGCTGCTGCTGCTGCTGCTGCTGCTGCTGCTGCTGCTGCTGCTGCTGCTGCTTGTAACGTGCTGCTTTTTCGCTGCTGCTGTTGTTACACTTGTTGCTGTTGATTTTGATGCTGTTGCTTCCCTGTGTCGATCCGTACCCGCGTCTCTTTTGTCTTCTTGTTTTTCTGGACAGCTACCTCGGTCTTAACCAGGAGAGGCTAGAGGGAGACGAGTACCTCCAGGTGGTGGATGAGTTCGTTGCGGCGGTCAAGGCCAGGTGGCCAAAGGCCTTGATTCAGGTACTCGGCCAAGGACCGCGGGCACATGGTCTCCATCGCCTACAACTGGCCCAGCCACGAGGTGATGATTTATTGATTGTAGTAGGGTTGCGGCAAAGGTTGTTAGTCGTTGGTCGTTGTGGTCGTTCCTGGATGGTGTTGCTGTTGCAGAAGGGTTGCGGTTGTTTGTCGTTGGTTGGGTGTGGTTGCTGCTGGACGACGTTGCTGCCCTTTTCAGGTTCAGCAGCATCGGTTTGCCTAATCATCAAGTAGCCGCCATCACAACCACCACCATCAACAACAGCAATAACCACACCCATAACAACCGCCTCCATCGGCGACCACAACAAACAACAACAAACGATAATTGGACGCGGCTGGCCGGCCAACTCCTGGTCCCGTTCAGGTGGACGCCATTGTCGTCACGGATGGATCGAGGATACTCGGGCTCGGAGACCTGGGCATGAACGGTATGGGCATCTCGATTGGAAAGCTAAACCTTTACGTGGCGGCCGCGGGCTTCCACCCGGCCCGCGTGCTCCCCTGCGTCATCGACGTCGGGACCAACAACAAGAAGCTTCTGGCGGACGATAGGTGACAACGGAGCGTAAGCTATTGACTGTACGGAAGCCTAAGCGAAAGCGTCAAGCATTGAGCGTTAAGCAGAAGCGTCGAGCGATACGCGTAAGCGATAAGCGTTAAGCGTAAGCGTGAAGCGTCAGCGAATGCGTAAGAGTAACAGCAGGCGCAAGTGTATGCGCACGCGCAACCGAACCGTATTTGTGCGCTTTCTCTGCATTGCGAAGGTATGTCTGTCACCTTCGCTCCCAGTGTGTATGATTCTGTCCACCGCACCGAACGGTCTTGGCTTCTCTTCCGAACAGCGACAGCACGGTGCGGGGTCACGCGGAGGAGAAGTTTCATCCCCCCGTGGTGCGGCCGTGCTTGGCATATCCTACATTTGGTTTCGACCGTGGTGGCCGGCGGACCTTTTAATGAAATGAAACCTCGTCAGTTCGGTGAACGCCTTCCAACCAAAGCGACCACATGCGCTCGTGCCTGATGATGGATAGAATGTGAAGTCGTTTCTACTCCACGGACTTCCCCCGAAGGGGGGGGGGGGGGGGGG